CGACTGTGGATTCTGTTTCAGATGATCCCAGTCGTGAGATATGTTCGCCGCTCGTGAGGAGTCGTTCCTGGCCATCGGGGAGGGCGCCACGGAGGCGCCGGTGCTGAGCGAGCAGCAGGTCGTCAGCTGCATGGCCAACCCGGAGGGCTGCGGCGGCTCATAGCCGAGAAATGGCGGATTCCAGAAACCTTGAACCCGAAGAAGTTTTCATCTCTCGGGGGTACATCTTTGGTTTCCGCCGCCTTTCGCTGGCTTCCGCCGACGGAGGCGGCCTCGTTTTACTTCCGCCGCCGCCTTCCGCCGACCTTCCGCCGCCTTCCGCCGAGGAGGGGATGACCAGTCCTTCGATCATCCTGGAAGGCGAGGTCCTTTTCTGGAGCGCTCCCGAGAGATACCGATACCAGGAGAGCCCTCGTCACCACGGCTGGATTCTCTTCGAACTTCTGGCCATCATGAACCCCAGGAGAGGTCCGGAAAGCAGCGGTGCCCGGCACCTCTTCGATCCTCCAGGCTCGGGCGGATGCGCGGGCGCCACCCAGGGGCAGGCCTTCAACTACACGAGCGGCGTGGGGCTGTCCCTGGAGTCGGACTACCCGTACCGCGGCTCCGGCGGCTGCTCGGCGAGCAAGACAAAGCCGTACGCCAAGAACGACGGGTTCGTGAAGCTGAAGGTGAACGACTACACCGACCTCATGACCGCGGTCGCCACCAAGGGCCCCATCGCCATCAGCCTGGCCGCCGGGAGCTTCGGCTGGCAGCTCTACGGCGGGGGCGTCTTCGGGGGGCGAGGCAAGCTCAGCGGCTGCGGCTACGACCAGGACCATGGCGTGCAGCTGGTCGGGTACGGCACGGACTCGGGGAAGGACTACTGGCTGGTGCGGAACAGCTGGGGCAAAGGCTGGGGCGAGCAAGGCTACATCAGGATCATGCGGTACGGCGACGGCAAAGAGCCGTGCGGCACGGACGAGACGCCCCAGGACCGGAGGCCCGGAAGCAGCCGAGGCACCCCGACAGACTCATCGGGGGCCGCGTCGGCTGAGGTAATCTCGAGGCCACCGGGAGGCTCGAGTATGATCACCAACATCGAGACGGGGGTTCCCGTCGGTCGCTGAGAGCAGGTATTTTTGTTGGACTCCCAGATCCCAGTCTGCTTCGAGTGCCTGCCAAATTACTTCAAGAACCGATATGCTGCTGCTGTGTTCTGTTGTTCTCTGGGCGGGCCCGAGCCCAATCTATTTGGTTCGGGATTCCGCACAGGGTGTGTGTGCCCCACAGTGTGTGTGTGTGTGAGTTCGATCGGTTTTGCACCGAACCGCCCGAAACAGATGCCCCCCAGCCGCCGGCAGCTCCCGACAGTTGCCGACAGGTGGGGCACGCGGGGGGCATCTGCTTGCGGCAGTTCGGTGCACCAGCGGATCGAGCTCATGCCCCCCTCAGGGTCACCCCCCTTTCTGGTGGATCCCGATATTTCTCCGCCTTCCTGCTTCATGTTTCTCCCTACTTCTTCCGACCGACGCGTAAGAGTAGGTTGACGATGACGACGTGCCGAGGTGCGGGGGGGGGGAGGGCCCGGCGCAGCGGCGCCCTGGGCGAGGACGATAGATACGAGTTGCGACCCAGGCTTGCTCGTTGGCACCGCCGTCTGTCCTCGGCAGTCGTACCCTGACCCCAGATCCGCCGAACGTTCGTTCATTTTCCGATCTAAAACTACACATGGTTCATTTCGAAGTATTCGAAAGTTCTTGGCTTTTTGAGGGGGGGCCACGATCCTAAGTGTTCTGTCCTGGGCCTCTCCCTGGCCACTAGGGGGGCCAGGAACAATTTGGAACGAGCGCAATTAGAAATGAGCACGATCAGAAATGAACGACGTGTACAGTGGGGGCCCATGCCAAGAAACACCCTGCTTGCCTCCAGGGTGCACTGGGTTTCTTGGGTTTCGATGGTTTTGCGATGGAGAGCGTGACGTTTCCACACCAAAAATCCAAGGACGTCCTGTGGACTCAGGGTTGGGTTTCCTGTGGAAGGTTTCTTGTGGACTGGCCTCAGACATTCGGCCCAAACGATGCAAAACATTAGGCCAGACATTTCCGCCAAAAGTATCACGGAAGCAGCGATGGCAGAGTGAAGCGGAAATCGGCGTCAAAAGAGCTTGATAAGCAGGGACGGAGATGTCCGCCCTACTTGCGAGGTCGCCCAGCGTGTGGCGGATCCGGAGTCAGGGCACCCAGCGGCACAAGCTGGTTGTTCGAATAGCGAATAGCTCTTCCAGTGCTTTTTTGTTGTTGGGTCGCCATCCTACGTTTCCTCTCCCATCGTGGAGAGGGCCGCCGACCTCGGTGTGGGTGCGTGTGCCTCGCGCCCCCGACAGGACGGCGAGGCGTGCCGCGGCGACACCAAGCCGCGCACCTACTGCGGCCTGTGCGGCATCCTGGGCAGCTCCACCTACCCGACCGGCGCGCGCAAGGTCCACTCCTCTGCGAGCACTGGCATCTTGGTTTGAGAGGCGGGCAACCAGCAGGGGCAGCGCACGGAGGGGAGATAGGTTCAGGGGGTGGACGCATCGACCCCCAATCGCCCCTTCGTCGCCGATACGGGCCCGATAGCCCACCCCGCCCAGGAATGTGCGGGTTCGCTCTGTGGGGACCATCGCTGCTCCGTCTATCGGCGATGTATTGCCGACTCCAGCTCGATGGTTTTCCCCTCTGAGCTGGTCCACCCTCGACGTTCCCCCTCAGACCAGAATTGCTGCGGCGACGCCAGGCCGCGCACATGGTTACTGCGGCCATTGCGGCATCACCGACATTGCAGCGCTTAATCGACCAGCGCGCGCCAGTTCCAACCTTCGGCGGGCACCGGCATCCTGGTTTGAGAGCAGCGATGCGCGCCGTTTCGCAGGTGAGGGAGAGGTAGGTAGGGGGTGCCCTTCTCCATTCACCCCCTGCCCCTTGCCCCCCTCCCTCCTTCCTCCCGCCTCCCTCCTCCCTCCTCCCCTCTACCCATCTCCTTGCTTCTTTTCGCGCTCCTAAGCTCCAGGCGTGTACATATCGTTCAGTTTTGTAGCAGGCAGACTGCTTGGTCTCGTCGTGGAAGGCGGGCACGCTTTAGAGAGATGCGGCCGCCGGTCTGCCAGGCGCCCTCCACTACATGAGAAAGAGGCGAGAATTCTTTCTTCCCTCCATCACTGGAGGATCTAAAGAGCGCGAGCGTCTACGCATGGATGCTCCCATGCTCCCAGGGATCATTGCGCGGCTTGCTAACCAGAAAATAGATTGCTAACGATCGCGCCGCGCCTGAACAGACAGTTACGCGCTGGTGCTGAGGGGAGGAGGGAGCCATCTGGAGAGTCAGAGGGACACCAGCAGGAAGGGCGAAGTGTGGTCTGGGAGGAATCAGAGACTGGCCGTGGAGGGCCGCGTTGACCCGTGGGCTCAGTGGACCCCTGGCCACCCCCCGCCGCAGGCGGGACAGGCATGGACCCTAAGGGCCTTCTCAGGATGGGCCCCCTTCGTATCCCGTATCGGCCCTGCAGGGACCTTGACGCGCCAGGTGTGTCTCTCGGGCCCCTGGCGGGCAAGCGGACGTGGCTGGATGTGAATACGGTTATTGCTCCTGCTGGCTTGCCAAGGACCCGTTGAGTATCGGGGCCTTGCTTGCCTGTAAGATTGGGTATGTGGACCTGGCGCCCACGCACACACACTACGGTTTGGCGCGCGCCTGTTGATGATAATGTTGCTGTTGCTGCTGCTGCTGCTGCTGGTGATGATGATGATGATGATTGTGATGATGATGATGATGATGCTGATGGTGATGGTGATGGTGATGGTGATGAGAATGATAGAGGTAATGATGATGAAGGTGATGATGAAGATGATGATGATGATGATGATGATGATGATGATGATGATGATGATGATGACGATGATGACGGTGATGATGGTGATGGTGATGATGATGGTGGTGATGGTGATGATGATGGTGGTGGTGATGGTGATGATGGCGATGCTGATGATGATTGTGATTGTGGTGGTGATGATGACGATGATGATGATTGTGATTGTGGTGGTGGTGATGATGACGATGATGATGATGATGATGATGATGGTGGTGGTGGTGATGGTGGTGATGCTGTGGATCATGCAAATTATCATGCTGCTGATTATGATACTGATGATGCTGCTGCTGCTGATACTGATGATGATTATGATGATGATGCTGATGCTGATGCTGATGCTGATGCTGATGATGATGATGATGATGATGATGATGATGATGATGATGATGATGATGATGATGGCGACTATCACGATATCGATAATGGTCGTGATCATGAGGAGAAGGAGGAGGAAGAGGAGGGGGAGGAGGAGGAGGAGGAGGCGGAGGAGAAGGACAAGGGGGCAGGAGGGGAGGGATAAGAAATAAGAAAGGGGGACAAAGAGGAGGAGGAGGAGGAGAGGAGGAAGAGGAGGAGGAGGAGGAGGAGGAGGAGGAGGAGGAGGAGGAGCCTCTTCGTCCTGCTTCGCCTACCCATTCGGGCCTCGCAGAGGACGACGCCGAAGACGGCGAGGAGGCCGAGGAGGGGGGCAAGGCTCCTGGCCGGAAAGCCAAGAGCTTGTACGAGATGGACCAGCGTCTTGCCTCGCTGGAGGAGCATGCTGCTCGATCTCCCCCACTATTCGAAGAAGGGGTTGACTACAGAACTAATTTGCCCCAGAATTGAATTGTTCGTCGAACCTGCGAAACACGATGTATGATCTTCGCAGGTCTACGAAGAAGGTTCTACGCACTTGTCTGCAGATTCGACGGGCAAGTCAACTTGAGGGTAGATCAGTGATGTAGTCGATCTGCCCTGCTCGAACGATGTTGTGCTCACTCCTCCTGCCACTGCTGCCGCCCCTCCTCCTCCTGCTCGGCATCGCACTCTCTCCCGGCGAGGACCATCGAGGAGTATACCAAATCATTTAGCAAAACAGAAGCACGCACGTGACCGAAAAGCATGCACGGGAACGGACGTCTGAGCGATTGCAAGCCATCTGACGCTGACTTTCTTTACGATCGACGTCATCTTCGTCCTCATCGTCATCGAGCGCATCGGCGACCGCGCCTTCTCACTCCAGTGATCCCGTGGGAGCGAGCTTTTGTTGTAGTTGGAGGGCGCGACGAACCTAAATGGCTAGTTAAAACACCAACTCAACCAAAGCAACTCGGTTTCGAGTCTGGCGTGGGAGCGAGATTCTTGTAGTTGTAGGTGACAGGCTGCCACTGGCCTGGACACCCTCGGCCGAAGGCCGAGAAAAGCAGTGGAAGGTGGGGAAGGAACCTGCCAAGATTCGCCTGAGGCCACTCCCAGCTGGAGTCGAAAACAACGGGGAGCCCCGAAAGCTAATTCACACATCAGCTCAACCTGACCAACTCGGCTCCGAGTCCGGCGAGGAGGGGGAGGCGAGGAGGCAGGGCGAGGTCGCCAGGGCCGACCTATAAGGCGCTGCGATCCGGCGCGCGAAGTGGCCGCAGTCGGCCCAGAAGTGCCCGGCGGAGGCGGCGGAGTGCCCGCAGAGGGGGCGCGCCGTCGCCTGAGCCAGGCGCGTGGGAGTCCAGGCGGCCCCTGCTCCGCGCCAGATCGCAAGCGAGCCAAGTTGGTCCTCAGCGCCTTAGTGAGAGCTCGGCGCCACCGGGTCCAGGGGGGACCCGGAGGACGCCTCGAGGTCGATGTCCTCGCATCCCTTCTTCGTCGTGCCGGGCCTGGGCGCGCGCACAGGCACGGAGGACGTGCCAGCCGCGGGGAGGGGAGGCGTCGCAGGAGGGCGGGCAGCTGGAGGCAGCCGCGGCCTCGTCCACGGCGGTCGCCGCAACAGGGTCGAGGGTCGGGGCCAGGTGCGCATGTGAACCGAGGTGGGCGGCGTGACCCCATCCTCATGCGATGTTGCGTCGAGGCGGAGTGTGTCTGGGCGCAGGAACCGTTCGCCGCCGTGATGAAACGGCGCGGAATGCGTTTCAGAGCACGTGGAGCAAATGATTTCCGCAGCAGGGGTAATTGGGGTGAGCTCACCCCCGACGGCGGAGTAGGCTTTTCCGCATGCAAAACACGCGCGGGGTAAGTTTTTTTACACCGTAATGATCAGGAGGGGAATAAACACACAGACACAATTATTCGTCGACTCCCAGAAAATATGGGAAAATATGGGAATTGGGCGGGAAGACAAACACCCAGAAAATATGGGAAAATATGGGGCATCTTTTTATTTGTGTGTATTTGTTTGTGTGTCCCAGTTCCCCTTCAAATGAACATTTAAAATCTAAACGGAACCTGGGTGTGGGGCCGAAGCCTACTCCGCCGCCGGAGGACCCCAGGTTGTAGGATTCTTCAAAGGGGAATGGGGTCGCACGTCTACTGGGGTGCCCAAATCTTTAGGAACGCCATTGTATTTGCGGCGAGCCCGGGTGCGCGCTTGCAGCGCATGTCGCGTGATAGTTGGGGCACCGCGTTGCGCGTGTGTTGTCGTATGCGCTTGCGCGCTCCCACGTGTTCTCTCCCACGCACCACGCTCCTGCTGACGATGTGCGACAACCACTGGTTATGGTCCGCGGTAATTTGTCCCATGGAGTTTCAGTGGAAAACGGCACGACCCCACTTAGCGGAAAGTGTCCTATTTTATGGGCGCGTTGTTTGACATTGCGTGGCATTGCTTGGCATTCCTTGGCGTTGCTTGGTACTGCCTGGCACTGCGGGGCATGGCCTGGCACTGCCGGCCACGGCTGGACGTTGCCTGGCATCTTGTTGGCACTGCGTGGCGCTGCGTGGCAGGGCAGCGAGGAGCCAGGACCAAGGGCAGCAAGGAAGCAGGACCCGGAAAGCAGGGAGCCAAGGCCAGTAAACCGAGAGCAAAGACCCCAGGGAAGCACGAAGCCAAGACCAGGGAGCCAAGGCACCGAGACCAAGGAGCCCGAGGAGGGCGGCAAAGAACCAAGGACCAAAACAACAAAAAAGCATTAAAAACAAGTAGTAATAATAGGTGTAACATTAAACATAAAACATACAACACATAAGAAAAGAGCCAAGGAGCCGGACCGAGGAATCCGAGCAAGGTCGGCTGGTGCAGGCTCGGCACCCACCAGTTCTTCCAAACAAAAGTAAGAGGAGACCTCAGGCACAGCCGAATCGAAGAAGAAGCACTTCGCTCTCCTCTGATCCTCGTCTCTCTCTTCCTCCATCCTGCTCTTCATCGCTTCTTTCTCATCGATCCTCTCTCTCTCTTCGCTCCTCCCTCGTCCCCCCTTCCCGATGCGTCATCGTTCCTCACAGCTCCTCCCCACTGTTTCTTCTTACGACCTCAGTCCTTCGATCTCTGGCCGCCATCAAACCACCTCCATCCTCCTGTCTTTGTCCTCCTCCTCCTCCTCCTCCTCCTCCTCCTCCTCCTCCTCTGTGGTCCCTTCTCCCGCCTCCCTCTCCGAAAGAGAGCGTCTTTGAAGTGCGCTGGGAGGACGTCAGGGGGGGGTCCG